AGCAGGAAGTTCGAATTACACAGGGATGTAAATTTCCAGTGATTGATGCCCTTTAAAAAAAAATAAAAAATAAATAATAATAATAATGAAATCCTCGAGAAAGTCCGGCGCCGGGGAAGGTGGTCCCCGGCCCTGGTGCCTGGTGGTGCCGCCCGGAGTTTTGGGGCCGCATTGTACTTTTTCGTGCCGATTTTTATTTTGGATTTTCTACCACTTCCTGGAGGCCAGGGGGAGGCACGGTGGGAGGAACCAAAAAACTCGGTGCCACAGCCATTTTGTTTGTGGGCAGCATGGTAGAATTCTGTCAGTCAGTCCGAGGAGGGGTTTTTAAAACGGCATTTATGGAAAAACTATCCCCGCCGTGACGGGCGTACCCGGTGAATTTAGCGTTAATTTAGCTCTGGCGGAAGGTAGGTGGTTCTAGCGCGGAAGGAAAGCGAGGATTTCGCTGGGAATTCAAGCCTCCCGCTTCCCAGCCTTTGCTTCGGGCATGACTGGGGCTTTTCCAGCCGCCTGGGGGGGGCTGAGGTGCGGCGGGGCCGGGGGCTGGCCCCGGGGTGCCCCCGCCGCCGGGCCCGGCCGAGGGATGCGCTCCCGGGCACCAAGTTGCTGCGGGGCTGCCGGCGGGGTGGGGCGGCACGGAGGGAGGGAGAAAGGCGAAGTCTGGGCGTTATTTGCTCCAGCTGCCTCTATTTATTCGTTCTGGGGAGGCGGCTGCTGGCGTTGGGAAAGAAGAAGGAAAAAAAAAAAAAAAAAAAGAAAAAAGGTGGAGGCGGGGGTGGGCTGCGTAGTTTTGCAGTGTCACCGAAAACCAGCGCTAGACTTTGGTCCTGGGTGGCTGGAAGGCGGCTGGAAAATGGCACGCCGCGTTTTTCCAGGCGGTGGCGGTGAAGATGCTGGGGGGGAGGAAACCAGGGAGCCGGGGGCGACCGTGGCAAAGTTGTGACCCCGGTGGCTCCCCCCCGGCATCGCCCGCAGAGCCCGGGGAAGCCGCCGCCTTCCTCGCCCTCCAGCCAGGCGGGGGCGGGGGGAGGGACCGGGGAGGGGGGGGGGGGGAGAGAAAGTCTGACTTTTTTTTTTTTTTTTTTTTTTTTTTGCATTTGCGAAATATTTTAAGGATGTTCGGGGAGCCCTTTGCGGCATGGAGGTGGCTGGCGGTGGGAGAGCGAGTATGCGGTCCATATTGTTCCAGGCGCTCTGCAAGGGCTGCCTTCTCCCAAGGTAAGTTTGGGCTTTTAACCGAAAATATTTGTGGGGTTTTATTATTTTTCCCCCCCGTGTGTTCGTGCTGTGGAGGGTTTGCCTTGTGCTGGCGAACAAAACAGAGCCTTGTATTTTTCTTAGCTTTGATCTCGTGTGTATTCCACCCAGCGATGTCTCCTTAATAGCGACAATTGCTAAAGTCAGTTTTGCTTCCTCTTTAAAATTTAATGCACGCCGAGCTTACCAACGATTTAAGTTCGATTTCAGGGTGGAAGAACTCGGGTATTTTTGTTATTTTTTTTTTTGAGATGGACTTGGCTTTTCCTTCTGGCTTTTCATCTGGGGGGTGGTTTCCTTACCGAGTCACAAACGTAGCCCTGGCCGAGTGTTTTCCCGTCTTTAGCAATACAATGCAGCCCCGAGCCACACGGCAGCACAGCACATTATGTCGCTGCTCGGCGGCGGTGGCCGTGGTGAAAAAGAGTTTAAAAATGCCATTTGCGATGGCTCTTGATGGATTACTTTGGTCTAAACTACGGGGGGAAACTGCCCTTGGCATGGCGGAGGTGGGGATTGACATCGCAGGGTTTAGATGAAGTTATGGCTGTTAGTAAACCGTGACCTTTTTATTTACAAATTAGCGCTGTTACGGCAATTAGCTCCGAGCATTAGTTATATAAAAGCTCTCGTTTCGCCGCTCCCCGTTCGGATGGCTGGCGGGGGGGGGGGGGGGCGTTTTATTTCTTTGCCTCTTTCCCTTCTAAGAAAGGTACATTTGGGAGACATTTTGTAATTTGGGGCATTTTTCTCGGCGCATTTTCCCTCGCACGGGGAGGGGGGGTCGGGAGGTTTTGATTTTTTTTTGGGGGGGGGGGGTGGGGGGAGCCCCTTTTTGTGTTGCGCCGAGCTGCGGCGGCGGCGCTGTGGCGCTCCCGCACGTTCCGGGCCCTGGCGGACAAGGAGGGGGGGGGGAACGGGGACCCAGGGGGATTTGGGGGGGATCCGGGGGGGTTTGGGGGCAGGTGGGGTGCCGGCAGCCCCATTACATCCCCTCCCCGGAGGTGCCCGGAGGGGGAACGGCGGCCCGCAGCGGGCACGACCTCACCCTGCTGCTGCTTTGTGGAATGGAGCTGGTTTTATTCTTTCCCTTTTTTTTAATCTCCATCCACCTAAAGATTTTTTTTTTTTTTTTTTTTGGTAATGGGATTCTCGGCCCCACCCCCTTCCCCGAGTGATTTTGCGGTGGCCGCGGAGGAGCTGTGTGTAGCCGTGCAATATGGAAGGCAGCGCTCGGCTCATTGTGCGGCTCGCCCATTGTCTGCCGGGGGCCGGCCCCACCGCGGCCCCCGGCCCTGGGAGCTGGGGCTGGGAGGGGGCTGTGGGGGACGGGGAGATGTGACCCCATTTCTGCAGGGTGGAGGTGGGATTCACCCGGAGTGGGTGGGTTTCTTCTTCCCTGCTCTAAGTGGAGCATGAGTTTACATAGACCTACATATATATACATATACATATATATATATAATTATTCTGCCTTCTTTCTCTTTTGTTACAATCTACCCCTCACCTCAGTTCCCAGTGCAAATGTTTCGGAAGGCGCTCTGCTAACAGCCATGTTCGGTGGTTAAGAAAACAGGAGTGATTAATGTTGGAAGAAGATGGGTGGGAAGACATAGGCAAGCCTGTGAGCACAGCCTGCATTAAAAAAACTCAACAGGTTCAGGAAAAAAAAATTAACATTAAATTCACCATGCTTTTAAGGCATCCTTGTGGCTATTATTATGGACTAATGTGAAGCTAATAATTTTACAAACCTTTGCATCTTACACCTTAATATGTTTATTGCTTTTAAAGAATAAATTTGACAAGTATTTTACTGTTTGAAAACCATCTTTGCAGTTCTTTTGTGCATTTTCATCTTTAAAAATGCATTTGGCCTCTTTTTAAAGAAAGTTTGCTGATTAAGTTATTTAGTTTAATGCAAAGTGATGTGCAGCTTCAGGTAATGGTCTCTCTCCTTTCCTGTAATGGTCTCCCTCCTTCTCTCTCTCAAAAAAAAAAAAAAAGTGAGGTAAAATTTAATTCTATCCTAGGTAAATATGTCTTGTAACCTTCCTCCAGTAAGAGGGATTTATCTTCAAGACAGCAGTCATCTTCCAGGATCTCTTTTCTCTGTCAGACAAGATCTGGTTTTATCAAGTCCTGGCTGCAACATGGAGCCCTGCTGGCCCATGAAGGTTCATTATGAACATTACATCTTCAAGTCCCTCATACTTTTTCCTAGATCCAAGAGTTGTACCAAGCTATGGGCCTTCTGCGAAGAATTTTGGACATTTTCCATCTCTGAAACCAGGTTGCCAGATCACAAGGTTGGCACTTGAGGTTACACCAGTAGCAGTAAAGCCACTTCTTGAATCTATTACAGTAATGATAAATCTTGGAGAACCTCTGGGTCATTCAGATTTAAGTAATTCTTACACGACTTTCCTTTTCTTCTTTACATCATGTAGAGCAGTGTTCAGTTTGCTCATTCATTGATAACAATATTGAACAAATGATAAACTTCTGAAGGCCATTTTGTGTTTCTGCTCTTCTTGCTATCCTGGACTATGGAAGTGGTGACTTCTTGTGACTGCAGTGTGTGCATGCAGGCCACAAACAAACTGATTGCTAGTGATCATGCTGCTGAGAGGCAGCTTCTAGCTCTGGTCAGCAAAAATATGAATTCTGAGTAGAAATCCGCTATTTTCTCCTCTTTGGGCAGGGCTATTATTTATCATTGGTTGTGGTTTTGCAGCTTTGCTGCATCTTATGAAAGCGTCTACTCTCGCTCTTACCAAGAAGTTACAAGGTAAGAGGAATGAAGTGCTGATATTTTGCAACTTAGTGGTTTCCTCACTTCTCTCCTGCTTCTTTTTTGAGCCATTGTTGAACAAGAAACAGTTTCCAGCAGATGTGTTGCCAACAAGGAATAAGAATTGATTAAGATTTAGTGTTCTCTCAAAGCTAAGTCACAACTAATTTACTTCCTGCATCTTCTGCAGAAATGTCTGGAAGACACATTACTGAGGAGTGGCTTTGCCTCAACTGCACGTCTCCCAGCCGCACTCCTGAAATGTCTGTGCCTGTCCAAAACACAAGAGGTTGTAGCTTTTGTTTTTGTTCGTTTGTTTGTTTTGGAGGGGGTCTTAATTTTGTTCCCTATGTACCATTCCAGTTCTCAGATAGCAAAACTAATATGTTTTTCTCCTAATACACTTCCCTTTTACCTAGAAACTTTGTGTAGGCTCTATATACTTTTTCAGGATATGTGGCTCTCCTGGCTTAAAACTAATTGAAATATAGCAACTTATCATAAACTAAATAATACTTTTAAGATGTTAACCCATCCTGACCCTTCAGCTGGACCTGTGATTGATCAATATACATTCTGCTTGCCTTCATGACAATATTACTAGTATTATATACTCAAGTAGGAGACAGAAGGTAACGCTGGCTGGCTGTAGAGGTGCGGGTGTATGTTACAGACCCCAGGCAGATCTAACCAGCTTCCAGAGTTAGCCAATAATGATGTGAAGACAGCTCCCCAGATGTGTGCTAGTGGTATAAGAGAACATCATCTGGGACTCAGTTCAAATCACAGCTGTACCTCCTGATGTATTCACTCCATATATCATTGTTCCCTCTTTTCCTACATGTGGTAACACACCTTGATGGCTTTGACTCCTGGCTGTTCCCTTTTGAGGGTTCTAAACTATTGGTTGATTCTTTGATTCAACACTCAACAAGGTTTAGGGAAGTGGGATAAAAAGGTTTCTCTATTTTATAAACCCATCTGACATAGTCTTGTTTCTCACCTTTCTTGTTATCTGTAGTACTCCACATCATACATGTCAGCATCAAATCATAGTAATGAATACTTTTTAAAAAAATATATATATATCTTTAAGGGTAACCTGTTTCCCAGCTGTGAACAAAGTCTGTCTGTCTTGCTCCAGACTCTCGTTCTTCCATGCCTCTTGCAGACTGCAACTTGTATGGCTCTTCAGTGTTATGCGTCAGAGGAAGCTGCATCCAGAGGTTAAAGCATCCTTCCAACTAGCATTCTTCATATTTTTCCTCTTTTATCAAATGGCTCAAGAAGGTAATTCATGTTGTAATAGAGGTCCAAATCCTTGAGACAATCTAGGATTGTAAGTGCTTTAGTAAATACACGTGGGTGGGGAAAAAATAAATCAGTGCTTTGAAACAATTTCTCTGATTTGCTGTTGTTCACAACAAAGCAAACTTGTGTGCTTTTGACACATACAACCATTGGTTTCAGTCCCCCAGGGCTTCTTTAGATTCTTAAGTCATGTTTCCAGTATATCATATTACCACAGGCCCTGGCAGCAAGATAATATATCTGGTACTATATGTTTCCTTAATAGGATGTTCATAAGTTTTTCTACTGATAATAGCTAGAGCCTAAAATTGGTGTGCAAAATTTGACCCCTAAAGTGGGCACTGAAGTAATTAAAAATTACATACGTTTCCTAAAAATGACTCTTTTTACCTACCTTAAATATTTCCCCTGTAAACAACAGAGAGAGAAAACGGAACTGCTAAATATTTTGTGAGTGCTAATCCTCGCTGGATGTGCAGGAAATTGAGATACTGCTTCAGAGATCCCAGATGGTAAATGGATGGTTGCTCAGAGGCATACAATACCATACAACAGGAAACAAAATGTAGGAAAAAACAGGAATAGTGAACAGAACCAAGGACTTGTTCCTCCCAGAGCAGTCCTCTTTGTGTCAGGTTCCATTTTGCTTTTTCTCTGGGAACAAACATATGGCTAGATGTCAGAGTAACAAACCCGTGAGATGGTGTTAACTCATGCTTCAGTGGATTAACAGTAAGTTACGCTTCTGAGTAAATTGGAATCAATGTATCATAAACATTTAAGGTAGAACTTGCTTTACCTGACTTTAGATGGGGAGTGAGTGTTAAATCTGTAACCATAACTGCTGAAAAGAAACAGGTTGAAGATTCTTAAAAATAATAACACAAATATTTTGTGTCTATTTGGAGGTGAAGAATGGTTTAAACTTAGCTAATTATCCTGACCAGATCATCACCTGCCTAGTATGACTAGCTCAGGTGTGAATATCCATACTTAATCGGATAAATTCCACACCCTAATGTTTGTTTTCACCTTGACATGTGTGTGATGTAGGTAATGAAAAGTTAGTTCTTAATCCTCTCTCCTATTCAGAGCTTTAAGAAACTTGCTAAATACAAGCAAGATCTCTTTGACCTTAAGAGGTATATGCAGCTTGAATGTTCACTAACACAAATAAGGAGGAGGTCTTCATGTTTATTCAAACAGGATGAAAAATAGGTGACGCAACTCTGGGCCTTTCAGCACTATAGGCATCCCTTAGGTCTTATATTTGCTTATTAGGAATCTTGGTGCTGCTGATACAGCGTGGTAACTAAAAGAATAATTTTGTCAGAGTCCTTTCACCTGGCAGCTTTTCATCTTCTGTAATGCCAGGCCTAGACAGAGTATACATCTTTAGCCTGATGTATTGGTTCAGGAAGTTTTTTCTTGAAGAAAAATTAAAATTAATTTCAAAATGTTACAATACAGAGCAATTGTGTTATTTCTGATGGTCTTAAATGGATCCATACAAGGCAGAATACCTTGATGAAATTCACCACTGATTGCGGCATTTTCTTTGAATTGTGAATATGCAATCAGCTTTTTTTTGACAGAGAGGAAAACTCTTTATATCTGACTCCACATGCACATATTCTGGACCATATCCATTTACAAGCACTCAAAGAATGAGAATTCCACAAAAACGTGTTCTAATTTCTGTTGTCATCTCTGAATCAATTTCCCAGCTAAAAATCTGCTGTCGCAGCAGGTTAGAAATTCTAGGCAAGGATACTTTCAGATGAGCTACTTTAATGTGAGAAACTGTCTTCCATCCTGTCTTCTACGTTCTTTGATATTTTTCAAATTTTACTGTTACATTATTTTAATTAGGCTATGTACTTCTGTGCTAACAGCCTTCTTGAGTTGCTTACAAATTAGATGAAGTTGTGCAAACTTGGCATCTGTGACCAGTAGCTGGCTTGTGCACAGGCCCCTGTGTTAGTGACAGTGGTGTCTGTCTCCTCTTGGAAGGTGAGAGTGCCAGACAACTGTAAAACAAGCACATTATTTAAGAGAACCAAGTATCTGTATTGGAGTGAGGGAGAGAGCCTTAACTAGTACTCTAAATAATTTGAGAAGACCACTTTGCACTTGTTTGTGTTTCTCAGGATGCCCTTACACTGGACTTGAGGATCTCACCTGAAATATATATAGTGTCCTGGTCTATTTTGAAGACTACTTCAGTATCTAAAAGGGGTAGACTTAGTCTGGATATTAGGAAGAAATTCTTCACTCAGAGGGTGGTGAGGCACTAGCACAGGTTGCCCAGAGAAGCTGTGGATGCTGGAGGTGTTTGAGGCCAGGTTGGATGGGGCTTTGAGCCCTGGTCTAGTGGCAGGTATCTCTGCCCATGGCAGGGGGGATGGAACCAGATGGTCTTTAAGATCTGTTCCAAGCCAAGCCGTTCTGTGACCTCTAATCTACACAGGGTGACCAACCCCTTAGCCCATATCAAGTCAGCTTTAGTTTTCTGAGCCCACACATAGAGGCACAGAGAAAATAATCTTTTTTCTTTCTTCTCAGGGCAACTTATCCTTCTCAACTGAAACACTTTCCCTGTCAACAACTGCCAAACTCCCACAAGTGTTTTGCATTCTCTAGACTGTTGAAAGACCTCTAAGAATGTATCTTCAGGTTAACCTATCAATTTACTATTTTTATGCCTCTGACAGAATCATTTATGTACACACATTCAGATATAATATCACAAAACAGTCTTGTCAATTGGTTTTGTATTCAGCTCTAGCCTCCTCTGCTGGATATGTATGTTCAAACTCAGTTCATTGTTTTCCACTAATAGAGTAGTATTAATTTGAGCCTTCTGAAGTGTGTATACAAATGCTTGCATATAAATATGGTCTTGATTAGTTTGTATCCCAAAGACAAACAGTATCTCTGTAGTGTTCTCTCTTATGCTTAATTTAGAAGTATAAATCAAAATACAGTGTGTAACGTAAAGGAATCTGTATCTGAGGTTGAAATAATTAGTGTTCTCATAAGCTAATAAAAATCCAGAAGTACCATAAAAATCTTCAAATTGAAGACTGAGGAGACAAAAGCTAATCAAAGTAACTAACCATTAAAAACAACTAAAAAAAAAAACCCACCTTGTACTTCAGGATCCTATGTCTATACATGAAACATCCCTCAGTTTACAGACTTTTTAAATGTTAGTCTTGCAGTTCCAGACTTTCAGAATCCAGAAGATGAGATGTGTGTTCATTTTTTTTTCTTTATTTGGAGAAATGTATTGGTTCTAAGTATGGTATAGGACTATTTTAGATGCTTGGTTACATCTATGTGACTTTAATACATTCCTACTATATTTTCAGTAACTCTCCTACAAACTCCACTAGCCACTAGTATTTAAGTGTAACAGCCCAGAATTTCACAAGCTGCTGTTTGAAAGGAACAGCACAATCCTATTCCTTTGATCTGGAATTTGAGTTTAGTCATACTGGAGGTGAGTAGGTAGGGGCACTGACATTTAAAAACAAACAAAACTAACCAAACAAAAAAGCTTGGATTTGCCACTAAGTTCCACCCACTGCCCCTCCCCTTTAAATGTGTATATTGGGAAATAACCTCTTCATTCCAAGAGGCAAGTATACTTTTCTGCCTCCCAAAAATCTGAAATCCAGCTAATTCCTATCTAAGGTATAAATCAGCGATCTCACTGAATTGCCTGAGGCAAGTGGATACGACAGCTTTCATTCTGAACCAGGAACTGCAATTTAAAGCATTTGACATGACAGAGTAGGCATTGGATATAACTCTGCCTTATTTACCATCAGTGATAGAATTCTGAATGTTTGCAAGGACCTGATCGTTCTGTCCAGAAGCTCTGAAGCACTTGAAACAACAGACTGACTTGCAAGAAAGGGTTGCTATCCTAGGAGAGTAAGGTATTAAAGTAAATGTTTTATTTTAAAAACAAAATGTAAAAAGTTAAAATCACTGAAGATTGTGGCTTGAATTTGCTGTAAAGTTGCAAATACATGCACAGGGCCATGCAACTAACAGTTACAGCAGTAAACTTTTTTCCAGTTATGCAATGAACGTGGCTTGGCCCCAGTAAACTTTTTTTTATCCCTTTATCCCAGGTCAGTGTGTGGACACTGTGGCAGCCTAAGGTTTCTATAGTGGTGTGGGGGCTTTTTCTTTTTAACTTAATTGTCAGGTGACAGATTAAAGGCAGAGTTTGTTGCTGTCCCTACCATTAAACCTCGGTGTTACCATAATTTTTATATTTGCTCTACCTTTTTAGCCCTTCACCTTATCCTATGTGGAATATCAAAGTAACCTATACTTAGCTCTTTGATTAATGAATTAGCAGTTGTGTTAGGTAGAGAAGGTGGGTTTGGTTTATTTTTTTTTTTTAATTTGGTGGTCTTAATATCTTTTATTATTATTTTTGGTGAGCCCAATCCTCCGCATTTCCAGCAAATATTTTTGCCCTTCTACTGGAAATGCACAATCATGTGATGAACTTGGTAACTGTGTGTTATAAACCAGTATTCTCAGAAGTTCATAGCTGAGAAAAGTGTGGATGGCCTGTGTGCCAAGTTCAAATTTCAGTTACCGTGGCTCTTTTTAACTAGTATTTAATTATCAGAGTAATTAGCATGACACAAGAATGAATAGTGATTTTTAATATTATTACTGATTTGTATTTCAGAATCAAAAATGTTTGGGATAAAATTGCTGTTTTGTTGTTGTTCTTAAGTTCTGAAACTTAGAGTTGTACGGAAATGTACACATCTCTTGCCTGATGGCAGCACCCAAGGTACCTGCTTAACTGGAGGGGTAACACAGAAGCTTCTCTTTAAGTGCATCTGTAGAAACACAATAACGCGGTATTGTGTATTGTAAATGCCCAAAAGACTAAGGAACTTTAAGGGCTACATAGTACCTTTTTAATTAGGAGCTTCTCAAAAAGTCCTAAAATTTCATTTTTCATCTTTAAATGACTTCAGGG